ACTTTGCAAACACATATGAAAATACACACCGGAGAAAAACCTTTTTCGTGTAATATCTGTGAATATAGATGTGTGAGGAAACCTACTTTGCAAAGGCATTTGAATATACACACTAGAGCAAAATCTTCTTCGTGAGATATCTGGTAAAATATGTACAATAGCTGCGAAAACCCGCTTCGCTGGGTTAGTTTTTTGTCGAATATTTATTCATGTATGTATATTTTATTAAATTAGTATTTTTTTAAAATTATGAACACGTGCCTTTTCTTGTGATATTTTTAAGACTTTTTTCTTTCTTACATATTTTTTTATTCATTATACAAAAATACTTTACGGATAGTCATGTACTGAATACCTATATTACAATACATTCTTATGCACTACATTTACTGTCTTATGTTCTGGTGCATCTAGTGAGTTGACCATGTATAAAACGGGATTCTCTCAACAGAATGGTAAATCATTTGAAATTAATTGAATTCGTGGTATAAAAACGGATTTTCCTTTTTCTTTGCCAGTTAGAATTACTGCCTCAATAATGTTGTTGAGAAGATGTTTTATATATAATCTTATACCGTTTCATAATTTTCACGAATTGAGATTTCATAATAATACGACTGGTGATGCAGTTTTTAGCTTCAATACATACAAAGGCATACCAGGCGGATTCGGTAAATTTAATAATTCTGTTGGGAAGTTCACACTTTCGTCTTGATTCATCACTGTGTCTATTGATTTATACAGGTTTTCATCTGGTGTCATATTCTGTATCCTTTCATTAATTTGCACTTCAATCATTTTTTGTAGCTAAAATTGCTTGCTCACACAACCATGTCCTATTTAGATAATTCTGTTCATCAGACGGATAAACTTTTTCAAAAAGTTCTTCTTCTGTATCAACTACGTTACACAATTCTTTCGATAGAATAAGTTTGCCTAACTGTGAATCTATGTAGGATATATAGTGTAGGATAAAAACAGCAAACTCTTGTGCTTCCGGATCTCCAGTAATCTTTGCTCGCATATTTTCTGTTAATGCTAATTTTTCAATACGATCCCAGGACGTTAATCGCTTCAAACATGCGAAGTTTTTAATAACCTTGTCTTACTTAACTACCCTAACCTTGTTTGTCGAACATCTCCGAATAATAATAGTAAAATTTTTCACATAAGTTTTTTTATTTTTCCCGATATCCTGTAACGTTCTATTTAATGCTTAAAGTGATTTTCTGTGAGCCATTGTACTTACATCCCAAATTATAAATGCACATCGCATCAAAACCTGGCAACGCGTAGAAGATCTTGAAACATTACAGACTGGAAATTCTTGTTGGGCTATATTTAAAGGCAAACTGAATTCCATTAATAATTCTCGGGGTCAAGTATTGCACTAGAGCTGTGTAATAAAATATTTGTGACCGTATACCGTAAAAATCGTAATCGTAAGATTAACATCTATATCGCGAGATTGTAAACTGTTGAAAGATTGTGAACCGTAACATACTGCTTACAATGTAACGCATTATTTTTCGGTAGATTGTAATAATATATGTTAAAATTGTAATAATATATCTTAGAATTAGTCAAAAGGTTGTTCTGGCCGAAAGTTGTTAGTAAGCCTAACCTTTTTTATGGTTCCGTACCTCAAAGGAAAAAAACGGAACGCTTTTGGGATCAGGTAAATAGGTAAATAACACACAAACACACAGCTATATATATATATATATATATATATATATATATATATATATATATATATATATATATATATATATATATATATATTCATTCATTTCATCATTTGCAAAGGTACTCACACAAAACGAAAAACAGGTACTAAGCAAAAATCAGTCAGTATACAAAGATAATCGTGTAGTGGCATGCGTGGCCTTGAAACCGACATGTAATATAGAAACCGCTGCGGAAAATTTTGATATTCGGTAGATTGTAATAATATATGTTAAAATTGTAATAATATATCTTAGAATTAGTGAAAAGGTTGTTCTGGCCGAAAGTTGTTAGTAAGCCTAACCTTTGGTTCCGTACCTCAAAGGGAAATAACGGAACGCTTTTGGGATCAGGTAAATAGGTACATAACACACACACACACACACACACAGATATATATATATATATATATATAATAAAATATAATATATATTATATATATATATAATCATCCTTTCACGGTAAATGTTGATCCAGTGAGAAGTTAGAACAATTGTTGATCCACCTATTTGACGTGTTTGCTCAGCTCCTCGTCGCACAAACTGATATACTTTGATCCCTCCTTGATGCGCGTGTGACGTCGGTGGATCTGCACTAACAGGTTTTCAATATACTCGTCAGCGATTTGACCAACATTTTTTGATCTATCAACGGTCAAAAAAATCATACTGAATATGATTTTTTTAGATCCAGAGTATATTTAATTTATATGCGACATTTACTTAGACTAAGTGGATCCGGAGCCATAATTGACGAATAGGTACTCGAACACGAAGCGGCAACGTCGCGTTCTGTGTGTGACAGAGAACCCAGTAGGCTACTTCGTTATAGTAATAAGGTAAGAAAATACGTTATCTGCTGATTTTGTGGATCAAACTTTGGCAAGTTTTATTGTGGAAAGAAGTTTGTTCGAGTTTTTGTTATCATGTGAGTGAATTTGTGTTATTTTATTCATTTGTCATAGATCACTTAGAAGTTAGAAGATGATGGATAGTACTTTATTACAAATTAATTTGTCACTCGAGTATGTGTGTGTGTGTGTGTGTGTGTTCGTGTGTGTGTTTGTAAGGGTGGGGGGTGCCATTTAGTTCGTGCGCGTGTGTTTGAGTGTGTTTGTGTATATGTGTGTGTGTGTGTGTGTGTGTGTGTGTGTGTGTGTGTGTGTGTGTGTGTATGTGCGCCCAGAAAACGGAGGCGGAGAATGGAGACGTGGAGGCGAAGGTGAATGCAGCGTAGTATGTGGTTAAGGCGGAGGAGAGGAATTTGTGGTGAAGTCGGAGATAGTGGAATCGGGGGAATTGTGTTGGAGGCGGAAAGAATAGTGACGGCGCGTGGTGGTGGCGGCGGAGGGAGCGGAGTTAATTGTTGAGGCGGATGGAGCAGAGTTTATGGTGGAGGCGGAGGTAGCGGAGCTGGAGAACGAAGGCTTAGAGAGGGGTGCGGTGGTAGATGTGGAGGCGTAGGTGGCAGAGGTGATAGGATGCAGTGGAGTGCAGTAAAGTGGGTACCGCGTGAGGGCAAGTGAGGCTCATATAAAGGACAGTTGGTTACAGCGAAAAACAGTGTGGCTGGTAAGTGGATATCGATACTGCCCCTAAAGATGTTACTACGAGGTTATTCACTTTTCCAAATATCAGTTTGGATACCTATTGGTACTAGAGACAAAGTGAAAAGAACTTTTGTTTTGTGACGATTTCATCATAACTAACAAAACAAACCCAAACTCGGCATACCTAGTTCTACTAGTCCAGGTGTTACAGTGTTAGTTACCGAAGTACACCTTCAGGTCACTTCAGCAAGTCCGGATGTAAGGACTAATCATAACTAACAAAACGAGCCCAAACTCAGCACACCCAGTTCTACTAGTCCAAGAGTTCCACTAGTAGTCCCGAATTACATTTTGAGGTCACTCCATCAAGACCGGAGGTAAGGTCTCATGATAATATCTCATGAACTCATAGTTCGATTCCATACCTATCAATTTTGTAAACGCGTCCTTAAAAATCTTGATTATGAAGACGTAGAAAACATGTTAACTGGTTTATGGTAAACACACACACACACACATACACACACGCACGCAAGCGCGCGCGCAAACATGCACACATGCGCACACGCACAAACGCATACACACACTCACACACGCACACTGCCGCACACGCACACACACACACACACACACAATAACAGTGCACACACGCACATCCATTCACACACACACACGTACACATACGCACACGCATACATATGCACACAAACACATACAAACCACACACACACACACACAGACACACACACGCACGCAAACATGCACTCAGACGAATACCTTATGTCGCCGTTGCCACCACTTCCACTACAAGAAGTGGCGTTGTCGAGTAATTCGTTAAAAAAAAGTCGTTTATTTCGACCACAAGGATCGTAGATGTTAGTAATAATACAAATCTTAAAACTAATTTTCGTAAAACTTAAAACTATTTACCTAATTTTAAAACTATATGAGACAGGCCCGATTAGTCAGCACGTGCACCATATGACAATGGTTCAGGTACTAACCTCAAACCTGTCAGAAAATGCCCTCAGGATACCATTGGAACTGGCCCGCACCCTGCGCACCAGGGATGTGCATCGTTTACGTATGGTGGTCTATAAACAATCCACACGCGCATCCGCGAACATACCCGGCGCATTACAATAACGAGGTAGACCAAACAGCACCCTGCTTCACTTTCTTTCAATGTATTACATAACACGCATTTAATCTGTAGCTTGTACCGCCAAAGATACGAAACGGCAACGTCGCGGCTGCATTCAGCCAATCCGATCGTTTATCTTATCGTTTGCTGTGCTCTGATTGGCTCATTTAAATCGGATCAACATTTTCCGTAACCATCGCAAGGTGGATTTGTATATCGGATCAACTTCGGCCAACGCTAGCAAACAGTCTCGTGAGTGCAGATGTTGATCCGGTCGGAGCCACATTAGTTACCAGAGACGCATATTGGATCAACAAAAAGCGCCGGATCAACATGCGTTTTCGGATCAACAAAGTGCTCGCGTGAAGTCGCGTCTTATCAACATTTACCGTAAAGAGATCTCTCTCTCTCTATATATATATATATATATATATATATATATATATATATATATATATATATATATACATACATTTCATCATTTGCGAAGGTACTCACACAAAACGAAAAGCAGGTACTAAGCAAAAATCAGTCATATACAAAGATAATAAAGATAATCGTGTAGTGGCATGCGTGGCCATGAAACCGACATGTAATATAGAAACCGCTGCGGAAAGTTTTGATAAAGAACAACTATCGACAGATACTACAGAACATAAGATGGAAACTAGCAAAAAGAAAGGATCATGGATAACTGTACAGAAAAAGAAATATCCTGAGAGGCAAGTCTTAAGAGAAGGAAATACTGGTACAGGAAATATTCAAGGTACTGAAAGGAAAATTTTTTTAACATGTTTAGCGATTAAAAAAGCATACCACAGTAGAAAGTTTGGAAGGACATGTAAAGAATATATGTGGAAAAGAGACGGAAATAACAGTGAAAAAAATTCAACATAAGACGGAACGAGACTGCGTTATTTATAATAGGAGTTCCAGAAAGTTCATACGAAATACTATGTAAACCAGAATGTTGGGCAGTTAACATTGAATTTTGTGAATGGGTGTGGTAAACCACCCAATAAGTAATAAGAAACCACTCAATTTTGTGGAGATATACTATCAGAACGTGAGAGGATTGAGAACAAAATTACACGATTTTTATGTGGGAATTTCTTCCCATAGTTATGATTTTTTTGCAATAACAGAAACTGGATGTAACAATTCTATCTATGATTCAGAACTCATCCCACCTGGATACATGATACTTCGGTGTGATCGGGCAGACGGGCGCAAGCAGGGTGGTGCGTGTTTAGTGGCCACACCACGATACGAGCTGCGGCAACTAAATACACCGAACGATGTACGTATTCAAGATCACGCATTTGATCTGGTTTGCGGTTTATCAACAAAATAAGTTCATGTTTGTGTTGTGTGTAGTATACATTCCACCGAGTTGTAGTGATAATGAATACATGTTGTTGTTTGGTATAATAGAAAATTATCGTGATGACTACAATAATTTAATAGTGATAGGAGATTTTAATTTATATTCTAGCTCAACAAATGTATGCAATCATTTTGAGTACTTTTGCACATATTGTGAATTTACCCAGTACAACAAAATAGGAAATTGCAATGAACGACAATTAGATCTTGTTTTAAGCACGCGTTCAGTGGAAGAAGAGTTAGAGGTGCGCGCGGCTGAGCCAATCGTGCCGCCCGACCCACATTATCCGCCGCTCGCTACTGCGGTGCCAGCGGGGGCGAGCGCGGTGCGGCGGCCAGCCACCGCCCGCGCCGCTGCTGCACGCATACTGGATGCAATTTCTATAAAGCAAACTTTTCGCTAATGTATTCGTTAATATCGGCCATAGATTGGACGCCAATGTATACGTTTGATGTAAATAGTAGTTTAGATTATTTTTATGAGGTTTTAAACAAAGTTATAGATGACTGCGTTCCAAGAAAAAAGCGACGACGTGTAAACTCGGAGTACATTTACCCCGAGTGGTACACGATAGACATTATTCGCGACATACAATAAAATACTAGGCTTCATAGACAGTTTAAGGTTAGCAAATCAAGGGTCTATTATGAGGCGTTTGCTAAGTGTAGAACGTATGTAAAATATTCAATAAACTCCACGTACAAAAATTATAAAGACCAGATGCAGAGTAAGTTTCAGGAAAATCCAAAGGCGTTTTGGGCTGACATTAACTCAAAAAAAACAACAGAAGTCCACGCACGATTTTAAAAGATGATAAGGTACTTACTAGTGAGCGGCGTGCTACTGAGTTTGGTCAGTATTTTTATTCGGTATTTAGCCCTAAGATGTCTAAGCTGGACGTGGAGGCGGCAGTGAAACAGGCTGGTGGTAAGAATGGAGCGGCTAGGGTACACTTAGAACAAGTAAAGCTTGATGAAGTACTTTATGTTCTGCAAAAACTCTAGCCAAAAAAGGCAACGGGACTCGATGGCATACCGGCCTACATTTTCGAAGACTGCCGAATATTACTTTGTAAGCCACTTCTCTACATCTTTAATCAGTGCCTGGCGAAAGCAGTGTTCCCAGAAATGGAAAACAACCAAGGTCGTCCCAGTACCCAAAGGAATGTCAGCATCAAACATGAACCAATACAGGCCGGTTGCTGTGCTTTCGACACCAGCTAAAGTACTGTAGGCTGCAGTACACAAGAGCATCCTCTCGCAGGTTAATGTACAGCTTTCAGATGAACAACTCGGATTTAGACCCGACAGGAGCACCACCAGCAACCTAATTAATTATATGAATTATATTGTACCTGAAGTGGATGCTGGAGGACAGGTAGATGTAGCTTTCTTGGATTAAAAAAAAGCTTTCGACCTAGTGGATAATGACATACTACTCACAAAACTGGCAGGTGTAAGATTTACGCCCCTATTTACTAACATTTTTTGTTAGTTATATGCGGGACAGAAAGCAGTATATAGAATATGCGGGGTGTAGGTCAAAAAACTATTTAACCAGGTTCGGAGTAAGTCACGGCAGCAATCTCGGTCGATTGCAATTCATATTGATGATAAATGACCTTCCGACGGTTGTCAAAGATGCTCATTGCACTCTATTTGCAGATGACCTGAAACTGTATCTTGCTGTTAGGAACAGACAGGATTGCCAAAAGTTACAAGATATAGATAGGGTGGTAACCTGGACCAAACATAACAAATTAACATCACGAAGAGCCGTGGTAGCTCAGATGCTTAACGCTCGCTGTAAATATAACAGAACGCGAGTAACCCGGGTTCGATCCCCGCCGGCACCAATGAAATTGTTAATTGCAATTTTAAGTGCTGATTTACCACGTGCTCAGCGGTGAAGGAAAACATCGTGAAGAAACCTGCATGTCTGAGGAATAAGAAAAAAAAATTTTTCGAAGACATGTGAAGTTCGCCAACACGCGTTGGGGCAGCACGGCGGACACTTCCTTGCCCTAAAACCCTCTCAGAAATGAGGGGAGGCCTGTGCCCAGCAGTGGGACATATATAGGCTGTAACTTTTTAACATCACGAAGCGTATAAATATGACTTTCAGCCGTGTACTATCTCCATTTACGTACCAATACCAAATTAACGGAGTACCAATAGAGAAAGTGTCAGAATTCAAAGATCTAGGGTTTAATTTCTCCTCTAAACTAGAATTTCGAGAGCAGATAACCAAAATCTGTAAGAAAGCCTACAGAAATTTAGGACTCGTACTACGGGTAGCTAGGGACTTCACTAATATAAAGGCAGTTATTGCATTAGGTATATAATTCTTTACTGAGGAGCCAATTAGAATTCAACGCGGTCATCTGGTCTCCACATGAAACTAAGTATAGTATCATGTTTTAGAGAGTGCAGAATATATTAGATATTATCAAAAAATTTATGGAGTATACCCGTTTTACCCAAATAAGTATCCTACCTTAATCACCTTAGGTATGGTAGGATACAATGAGCTAAAGGTTAGAAGGAATTTAGCGCTTGTTTCATATATCTTTAAGGCGATATGGAGAAACACCTTGTCCAAAAGGTCATTAAATTTCAGGTTCAGTGCAACCACCGATGCTACAAATTTATCCAAAAACTGCTCTAAGCCGGTGATGTTCGCGGATGATATAGATTCTACGTTAATATTCTTTATGTGATCATTTATATATTGTATACGTGAAAAGAGTACGTCCCTCTTGGCGTAAATAGTTTTAAGTTTAATTTCATTTCCACTAACTGCCATTTTAAATCACTGTAATTAATATTAGATTAATCACAATTAATCGCACAACGCTGGAGGATGGACACAATGTAATACAACTATATCTCACAACACTATTGTCTTATCGTGCCGTATTACGTCGTTAAATTGAACACCTTTGCAACGAAACGAGGCGACGCGCGTCGATAGATAAGAAGCTAAACTCACACTATTTTTTTTTACAAATGTTGGGTAGGCCAAATAAAGCCGTGCGGAACTAAACTATTTTAAATAAATAAGGCGATTTACTTATGCGAGTAACTAATAAATTTTAAAATTAAATTAAACAAACACTATTTAAATGAATAATTCTATTTGCGAATAAAACTAACCAAATTTTAAATTTAAACTAAACGAACACTATTTAAATCTATTCAATTTTAAATTAGAGAGCATTGTCTAAGAAATTAATCTAGCAATTCAATGATTGAATGGTTGGTGAGGCTATAAAGCACCAGTCCAAAACCGGCCGAATGACCAGAAAATGGTTTGTGAGGCTACAAAGCACCAATCCAAATCCGGCCGAAGGTCCATAAAATGGTTGGGCGGCGGGCCTAAGGGTTCCCGAGTTCCAATTCCCCGGTCGAGCCTTGACCCTATGACGCGAGATGTTTACACTATATGGACTGTATACGCGAATGATGCCTAAACAAGATGGCGGATTTGGCACGTATCCTCGACAATGCACTCGCTCTTCCGAAAAAACCCATTGCTTGCCAAGGTTATGAAGGAATCCTACTTGAGCACATTAGGAGAAATAAAACTGGAGTCATAGGAAAAGAAGCACACTTACCGGGGTGTGACTTCGATGCGGCTTGGACGCTTCCGTTGCTGCGGTGCTACTTCTGGCGGATCTCCTGGGGCCCCAAGGATGCGGCCGGACTGACCAGTACGGTGGTGCGATGGAAGAGAGCGGTGCGCGACGATATCTCACACTAGGTGAGGCGGTTACTCCTGGAGCTTGACTGCTCCAGGTTGGTGCGGTTTGAAACTAGCGGTGGGCGTGGGCAAGAGCCCTCTAGGACGCGACTGTCCCAGGCGGTGTGGTTCCAACCAGCGGCGCAAGGGCAAGACGGCGCACGAGGGCCGTGCGCGCGCTTATATTGCTTCGTTCCTTCTCTCAATGCGTCTTCGCGGGGGGGGGGCGCGCTTCTCATTGGTTGCGAGAATCACGCGACATTCTAGAATTATCTTCTTTCCCCTCTGATCCCACCACCCCGGTGTGTCGGAAGAACGATAGGTGAAGGAAAGGACAACGCGTGGCAAGCCTACCCTCGAATAAAATTAAAAATACGAATGGTTTTCCGCGCAACCACCGATAGTTACACATATCGACAATTTTGATAACGACGCCGTTAGAAACCATATCTATGGCTACTATAGTAGGAACGAATTGCCGACTCTCGATAAATTGTCAAATATCTTACGAGAATCTGGACTGTTTCACGGCAGTAGAACTTCTTTCTGGAGGGTTTTATAAAAATGTTGGCTTTTCTTATAAAAAATGTGATAAAGGCGGATTTTGATGGAGCGTAGAGATATAGCTTTAGCCAGATTTAATTTTCTAAGATCTGCAAAGTCCATTGCCGTTTGGAATAATGTTATATTTCTAGATAAGACGTGGCTAAACGCTAATCATACAGTTGGCAAGATATGGACAGACGACACTCCTCACTCCTCCACAAAAGTACCTAGTGGTAAAGGCGAACGCTTAATTATTTGTCATGCGGGTTCCATGAAGGCATTTGTTCCGAACTGCGTCTTGGCGTTTTAATCTAAGAAAACTGTGGAATACCACAAAGAGATGAATTTTGTTAAATTTAAGGAATGGTTTTGTACCTTATTGACCATCTTGAATGAGCCATCGACGATCATTATGGATAATGCACCGTATCATTCAGTACAAATAAGTAAGCCTCCAACTTCTAGGAGCAAAAAAGCCGATATTGTGAAATGGCTGAATGACAATAATATTGTTGCTGACATGTCCATGTTAAAAGTTGAGCTGCTGCATTTGGTTGCTATAAATAAGCCAGCTAGACCAAAATACGTATTGGATGAAATGGCTAAGGAAGCTGGACACAATGTAATGCGCCTTCCACCCTACCATTGTCAATACAATGTCATAGAATTGATTTGGGCGCAAATTAAAGGCAAGAATTTAAACAAATCTTTTTTATAATTTATTTTTACCTATTTTAACATTTTATCTGTTGCTATTTTAACACGAAAACCTTTATTTTAGGTTATGCGGCTCGTAAAAATACCAGCCCAACGTTTACTGCAAAAAAAATGCTGTCATTGTTGCAAGAAGCTTGTGATAGTGTTACTGCCGCGAATTGGGAATATGCGGTTTTACGAACAAAAAATTTGATTTTCGCTGATTGGGACAGAGATGTCATATCGATGCCGTCATAGATAACCAAATCATAATAAATACAGGAGATACTACAGACGATAATGAGTGTAGTATCTCCTGTATTTATTTACTGTCAATACGATTTTAATTTGTTCGTTATAGTAATCGAAGATCAATATCGTCAAGTATCGACTATAGCGGTACTTTACTAGTACTTGAAT